AGCATTGAACTGTCTTTGAATTTTAATTAATTGCAACAAACAATATTTGGCACTGCAACGAACAGGATTTAATACTAAGTGTTTTTCTAATACAAAAAAAAGAAGAAACCCTCGGACATCGAAACACAAAGTGTAGAATATTTTTTTTAAAATTTTTTTTTTTCTTTATCGTCGCCCCGGTTTAAAAAGTATCGCCGCGCTTCTCTGTAAAGAAAAGAAATTAATTAAAATAAAGCTATTTAAAAAAAAAAAAAAAAAATCAATTAAAAAAAAACGGTGAAAACGCGTAAAAGTGCAAATGTCCGACGATTCAACTCTACTACCATCCGACTTCGATAGCGAACAACAATTCCGTGAAAGAAGAGCGACCAGAGGAAGAGGAAAACCAATATCAGTGGAAGAAAAATTGGGAAGACAAGGCCTATACAAACGCAACACCCTAGCACACAGAACCCGCGCACAATCGATATCAGGTAAGCGACCCCAACAACCTTGTATTAGACAATCACATTCGGAGCACGACTTACCATCGTGCCACGACCTCATCAAACCCATCGAGGTAGATTCATCGGACGATTTCGTTGACCACCAAATCAACAACTCTACACCAAATCAATCCACCCACACACAAGACACATCAAGAATCTCATATAATTCGTTACCTGACGAACGATTAATTGCCATAATGACAGAAAAAAATCAAGCGGGATCATCTACACTAACCCAACAGCAGTTGGAAGATAGATTAAATAGAGCGATTTCTCAAATTAACAACATCACCAATGCACAGACCAATCTAAACGACCAAATTTTACAATTAAAAAAATACATTGACGACCAACTCCAAATATTCAATCAAGAGCAAATTAACAGAGAACAGAGTTTCGAAACTAGACTACGAAATTCAGTATTAGCAGCAATTGAACAACAATTACAACAACGAACCGACGGCAATGACCCGGCCAACGCCCATAATGCAAATCAAAGTCCAAATAACGCGAATCAGGTCAACAACCCAAGTGAAATAAACATTCCCGACCAAAGTGCAACAAATGCAAATCGAGCAAATAACCCAAATGCTGACAATCCAAATAATATACATGTTGTTGAAAATGCTAATCTAAACAACTTTTCGCGTACCAATTCCAACAATGTTGCAAGCAACAATAACAACAGTAATAATAACAACCGACGCGTACTTTTTGCTCACGAAAATTCGGAACAACAACAAACCAATGACCCGATTTTTCTTAGTATGCAGCGACTTTTGGAACTTAACAATGCAAATGAACGGAAAAGAGCAATAACTGATGACATAGCAAGAGTTACATTCAAACAAGCAAATCATGACGAATTGACTGCATTAATAAATACCGCTGAGATGTGCTTTAATCAAGTGAGAACAGACGACGAAGAAATTCACCTATTACATCGAGTCAAATTAAAATTGCTGCAATGCGAAACCTTTCCACACGACTTGACGGATGATGTTTATTATTGGACGGACCTTAGAGCAAAATTGAGAAACGAAGCATCCAAAACAAATAGTTTGGGAGCCATTGAAGCCGAAGTACATGCATTAAAACAAAACAACGACGAAACAATTGTCGAATACGGTAAACGCGCAACGCTACTTCTGAAAAAATATCAAAACTATTTTGGCGCAAACATCGACCAACAGCTGAAACAAAAACTCAACAGAGAAATCACCAAACAATTCATCACTTCGGCCAAAACAATGAAATTGCGCGAAGCACTCCGAATTTCAGCAGCAAACAAATCACTCGCACAAGTCATCGAATACGCAACACAACAGGAGACCATAATCAATGCGGAGATACCAGACCAGGAGCTATTTTGCCTATATTGCCAAACCAGGGGCCACCGACAGGCATTATGTAGAAAACGCGACGCACATATTAGAGAGAGCAATGCCAAACCCGGATCAGCACCCGATAAGATCTGTAAACGATGCGATATTAGGGGCCATATTAGTGAGAATTGCTTTCTAATAGTGGGCGGAAACAGCCGCGCCGATGACAACAACCAAAATCGCGGATCAGCGAATGGCAGAGGCAATCGAGATGGCCGCGACCGCGATAACCGCAATGGTGGAGGACATGGTCGAAACAATACCGAAAACAACAATAATAACAATCCCAGCGGAAATCAACAAAACCGCTATGGACGACCAAACCGTGGCAATTATCGCGACAACAATAATGGCAACCGTGATCGAAACAACAGGCTAGACGCGAATAATAGCGGAAACAACCCACCACAACAAAACCGTACAAACAACAACAACTACGACAGAAACACTAGCAACAACGCGCCATACCAGGGAAATTCATACCAACAAACGGCATACACACAACCACCACAACAATTCGGACGCGCACCTTTCCATCAACAACGAAATTACTCAACGCCAAATACATCTAACGCCCCACGGATGAATTTTGCTGAAACACCTTTCGACCCAACTCTACATCAGGCATCATTCAATGTCAATGCTGACATTCATTCACAGCCGGAAAACTAACATGGGAGGAATTCAATGATCGGCAGAATATTCTCCCAAACGACACAGAAGTATCTACAACAATACAATGCAAACTAAATGACAAAAAAGGAACGTTGACATGGATAGTAAACACAAATGTTACTGAAAAACCAATCGAACTGTTGCTTGACACTGGAGCACCCATCACAATATCAGCCACAGATACACTCGCAGCAGGAATAACACCGGACAAACCAATCATTCAAATAAGCGGAGTCGCAGGTAAAAAACATTATCTAAACACAAGGGGAGCCGTAATCGGAAAATTTTTGGCACACGAGAATGCAGATTTTACTAATGAAATTCATATAGTCGACAGAGAATTTACCGGCCCATTCGATGGATTTTTGGGGCTGGATTTTCTAAAAAAGTATAAAGCAACAATAGATGTTGAAAAAAAAATATTAACTCTCAGAACAAAAAAAACAGTGGCAGCTGATAGCGAAAACCCAATCGAGGAAGAACGAGTCGAACGCGCGCAAAATATCGATTCGTACAGAGACGATACGGAAAATCTATCAACTGATGTACGTACAGAACCACCAGATTACGAGAGTAGTTCAGATGAAGACAGCACCGTTAATGAGTTCACGCCCAGACGTTCGAACGAAGACATTCAACGGGATAGCGAAGAAAAATTCAACTTGAAAATGGAAATCTACGACGAAATTAACAAAATAAATAAAGGAGGACTCCCTAATGGTATTATTCAAGCAGTGCTAAAAATTAAACGACAAAACGCCTTAGCAGAACAGCGTGAAATTTCTCCCCAAAACACGCCGCAAACACACACAATTAATGACATCCATGCAACAACAGTAAACAACCAACAAGCAACCAGTCAACACACACACGAGCAACAAGAAGCACTCGACACCTTATCAGTCATGCAAGTAGAGAAATACATCGCCGACAGAACATTCAACGACTACGACGACGACTTAACGAAATTACGAAAAATAAGAAATCACAACATAAATATTGGACCACTCGCAACGAATTACATTAACGCGTTCCGACATATCACCGAAAAACAATTACAACATCGAAAAAATCTATTCACCATGCAGATTCCACCGGAGACATCAAGAGCCGAAATCATACTTCATAACCTAAAGGTGAAACATTTGAAACGAGATCAATTAGAATTGGTCAAAGAGATAGTGAATAAATATAAAAATCAATTTTACCTGGAGGGAGATAAACTGGCAAAGTCAGAGATAGCGGTCCACAGCATACATCTCAAGCCCGGAACTGGAGTGATAAACGTGAAACAGTTCAGATTGCCGGAAACTTCCAAGAAAATACTGATTGAAAAAACACAAAAATTACTGAACCAACAAATTATCCGACCATCGATGTCGCCTTTCAACGCACCGACTTTTCTTGTGCCCAAAAAAGACCAAGAGGGCGGAAAAAGCGACACACGACAAGTGATAGATTATAGGAAACTAAACAATCAAACAATCATTCCGAGCTATCCAATACCATTGGTATGGGAGCTGATAGATCGCTTTTCGAAATGTAATTATTTTACCATTTTGGACATAAAGAGTGCCTTTCACCAAATCCCAATGAACGAAGAGCACAAGCATTACACGGCATATTCGGTGGGATATAAAAAATACGAACATGAGAGAATGCCTTTTGGTCTATCAGGTGGGCCGTGTACAATGCAGGCGGGACTGACGAACGCCCTTGGCGATTTATTGGAAGAGGGAGTAACGATCTACATCGATGACGTGTCCATTTCCGCACCTACAAGAGAAAAACACGATGAATTGTTATTTAAATTTTTTGAAATTCTAAAAAAATTCAATCTACAAATTACAATAACAAAATGCACATTTTATTCACCAGAAATGGAATTCCTAGGTTTTACCGTGAGCCCCGGACAAGTTAGACCAAATCCCCAAAAACTACGCGGCATAACCCAATTCCCAAAACCAGAAACGCGCAAACAGCTCCGTGAATTCCTGGGAATGGCGAATTATTACAGAAAATTTATAAGAAATTATAGCAACATCGTTAAACCGCTCAACGACGCGACATCAGTGAACCGTCTGTTTGAATTTAACGACGATTGTAATCAGGCCTTCAATCAATTGAAAGAAATTTTGCTTAACGACGTAACACTCAAAATCGTTGATTTCGAAAAAAAATTCTACGTGACCACTGACGCCAGCGATGTAGCAATTGGAGCCGTTTTATCGCAGGACGATCCACCGAATGACCGACCAATCCAATTTTTCAGCAGATCGCTAACCGAAAGTGAACGCAACTATAAAGTTCACGAGCGCGAATGTTTAGCGTTGACGGACGCTATCGAGGAGTTCCAACCGTACATTCACGGTAGTCGATTCACTGTAATCACCGATAGCCAATACTTGGTATTTTTATTTGGCCAGAGCCACAAAAACAAACGCCTTATTAGGCAGGCCGCCGAAATACTCAACCTAAATTTCGATGTCAGGTTCCAACCTGGTAAAATGAACGTAGTGGCTGATGCACTGAGTAGAATTGAGCTACCAGAGAAAAGCGAATGGAATGAAGTACCTATCACCGAGTACTTACAAAAATATGCTGAAAATCCAAAGGTGGTCCGCGCTATTAC